ACTGATACGAGACTGACCTGAAATTGACCTGAGTTTGACCTGAGTTTGACCTGAGAGTGACCTGAGAGTGACCTGAGAGTGGCCTGAAAGTGATATGAGACTCTCATTATGAGAGTTTCTAGAGCGATCTGAGTGTGACCTGAAAGTGACCTACGGCTGACACAAAACCTTCTCCCCCCATGTACTTGACTGGCGAAGCTAAAGAAGGCATTGAACACAAAGGGCGTGCTACACGGGCCAGGGTTGTCAATCAAAAGGAAGAGGCAGATGGGCGCTGCACTGTGCTGCTCCTGACGTGTTGCTGGTGGGGGGCGTGAGGATGATGGTGCCATTGAATGGTTGCGCTGCTGCACCTGCCAGGGAGACTGCTGTTGTCTGTGATGATTTGGTTGAAGGGAGAATTGCAGGGTTATCCAGAGTGAGGCAAGGCAGATGGGTGCAAACGGAACGGAAGAAATATGCTTGGATGTAAATAAATCAACACCAGGAGTTCGAGAGGTTTCAATTGCGATGCAGCTGTAATGGTAACAATTACGAGGAATGAGCAGGGTATGCAACGCAATCAAAGGGCACAACAAGAGAGTGTCATCTGCTTCTTACACCAGATCACTCAGTCTCTCCCAAAACTTGTGTATACACACCACTGTAGGAGCACGAGGGCAGTCCGGCCTGGTTGTCGAAGTTGCTATCGTAGGTGCATACTGATTCCTGCACAGACTCACTGAAGGAGCACATGCCATGCCCGCTGCACAGGGGTTGGCAATCCCCAGCAGCAACCCCACAGAACGCACCACACTCCTCTGCACTCCTCTGCTCCAAGTAGTCTCCAGGCGCCCGGGATGCGTTGAGCAGACAATGCTCAAAGGCGTTGCCAAGGTAGGTGTGGTTGGCCTCGGGCGGGATGATGGTCCCGTGGAAGAAGAAGTTGCGGTGGGTGTAGGGTAGGTAGGGCGGGAACTGGTTGGCTGCAGGTAGGGCGACAGGGGCAATGGCAGTCACCCTGTCACTGGTTGGCTGACATGTCACTGTAAAGAAGGGGGGGCGAGGGCAGGGAGAGCCAAGGCGAGGAGTGGGTGGGAAAATGGCGCATGAGCGGGGGTGTGACAAGAGTGGGTGAGAAGTGAACACGCACAGGGTGGTGCAGAGGAAAGATGCAGTGTTCTGTTGCAGATGAGCCTTGAACATACAGATAAACCATTGGACCAAAGGAAGGGGCTTGGTGTAACAAGCACTTTCAGTCCTATCTGTAGTCCTCCTTCCCAATCCAATGCTCTCTTAGAATGGGCTCTTTCAGGACCCCCTCAACACACCAAGGCAAGTAACAAATGGCACATGGCCCATTGGCACATGGGACCTGGGACATGGCAAATAGCACATGGTGCATGCCATATGCGATTCCCCCCATGCACGTGCAGCGTGACAAGGCTGGTCATATTGCGTGTGATGCCGTACACATCGCCAGAGAGGACGTTCCTGTTCAGGTAGCTGGAAGAAAGCACATCCGAAGACAACTCGTGAACGCGGCGTGCATGGCATGGCAGCACTTGGAGTCCCATCTAGCAGGGTTGAGTGCGCTTCCTAAGGCCCTCAGCAGAGGTAGCATGGAGTGCTGTTGTTGCATGCAGTTGCGTTGCATTCAAGCATGATTTCAACTACATGTCAAGGATGGTAACTTGGATAAGTGTGATTGGACCAGACGCCAAGGGACACTGGATACAACAGCAAGCAGCCAGGGTGCACACACAAAAAGCCCAAGTTCTGAAGGAGAATGATCTGGGGACCGTGCCCCTGAGCCCCAAACCCTCCCGCTACCTGAACCCACAGCGTGGAAGACGTCGTGTGCACACGTGATACATCACAGACTATGATGATGGAACGATAAGGGAGTCCTTGAGTGAACGAGAGAGAGCGCATTCTATTGCAGTCTGCATATATGTCATTAACACGCAATGTCTCAGTACCTTTCTGATGACTCTTGTCCTCATAGCTACTGACATAGACTGATGCAAATCCAAGGAGACTCAGAATCATACATGCACAGGAGGTTGCACCAGCAACACACCAGGCAAGCAAGGCAAACACCAAGAGAGAAGCTACAGGGATGGGTTATGGTTGGCGAGATGTCAAGGTGACTCAGGGTTCCAATAGAGGGGCTAGGTTCCACCAATGTTTGACCGTGCCAGCTCCCTGTAAATACATGGCTTGATTAAACACTAGGTTGGGGATAAGAAAGGAGAGCATGATTTCAGCATGCTACACGTGTCTCCTATCGTGATGTGATAGGCCTGACAAGTAGCACGAGTGCTACAAACATCAGAGCGGACAAATGAGAGAGCTACCAGATAGTGGGTTTCGGCGAAATCCATTATCATAAACCACTGCCTCTGTCCTTAGGGCAGTGTCCTTATGAAGCAGGGGCCAAAACGGGGGAGTGGAGGTCTGTAGACTAAAATCTCGTTCTGGATCCATACACTATGTTTCGGCTGTACCCTGTGCACACAATGAATCGCTCACAAGCATAAAAAAGTGTCTATGATTGTATGTTGAGCCCTAAAGCTATAATGATTGGTGTCAAGCGTCTATTCAAGACATTACTAAGGCTGGAGTACGGTAGGGAAAGAGGAATTTTCGGTGGAGCGGTGATTAGCCCAGAGATTGAAAAGAACACCGCACGCGCTCTCACAACTTGTGAGTCACAGTTCCACGAGCAGATTCTTGGCCCCATGCAGTGACAGAATGAACGGCGTACATACCGTACTCATGGTGACTGCATACATGCTCATGATGACTGCATACATCCTCATGATGACTGCATACATGCTCATGATGACTGCATGCATGCTCATGATGACTGCATACATGCTCATGATGACTGCATGCATGCTCATGATGGCTGGATGCATGCTCATGATGACTGCATACATGCTCATGATGACTGCATACATGCTCGTGATGGCTGGATGCATGCTCATGATGACTGCATACATCCTCATGATGACAGCATACATGCTCATGATGACTGCGTACATCCTCATGATGACTGCAGACATGCTCATGATGACTGCATACATGCTCATGATGACTGCATACATGCTCATGATGACTGCATACATGCTCATGATGACTTCATACATGCTCGTGATGACTGCATACATGCTCATGATGACTGCGTACATGCTCGTGATGGCTGGATGCATGCTCATGGTAACTGCATACATGCTCATGATGTCTGCATACATGCTCATGATGGCTGGATGCATGCTCATGGTAACTGCATACATGCTCATGATGACTGCATGCATGCTCTTGATGTATGCATACATGCTCATCAGTGTGGGTAGGGTGGAGTTCTAATCAGGAATGGCGCCAGGGAAGTTGTTATTGTGCAGGTCGCTGCACGGCAGAGCACAGGATGGAGACAGCTTCTTTTCAGTCGGCTAAAAAGCACAGAGCTTGTAGTCGACTCTAAGGCAGAGCAGGGGAACAGAGGCAGTTGCATTGATCCATTTTAATCAATCTGACTTCTTTCAAGAGCTCGAGAAACATCCACATGGCCTAGGCGCGTAAGTAATATTGTTGAGGGCTGCAGCATCACTTTATCAGACTCAAGGGGGCATTGCAACATCGTTATCTTGACAGGAGCGGAGCTTCACTGCCTTGCATGCAGCAAGGCGAGGAGGACAGTCAGAGCAGGGCATGGCAAAAGGAGAGCCGCATGGCGCTATGAGTGAACAAATAACACGTGCAGATGCAACAGCAGGGTGGGCGAGGCAATGGGGTGGCTGACATGATATCGAGGGTGGAGATGGTGCTGAGGGCAGACTGCTGTCCACAGTGAACCCGTTGACCGAAAGGCTCCTGCACATGGTTACAGGGAATGGAATGGACCACTGGCGATGCGTTATGTGCCCCACTGAGTGCTACGGACAACGAGATAGACATGCATGGGATAGCCTTGGTAAAAGCAGAGCCCAATATTCTTGCATGGTGCAGTGCTGAGTGCTAACGCACAAGAATGCATGCATGCACACAACGCCCTGTACATAGTCCGCGCTGCACCACAGCAATCCCGCTCCCATTCGTCTTTCAATATCTATCTGTTAGAATGTTGCATATGCTAGTCAATACTACTGTAAGTGATACACCCAATGTGGTACACTTTGGCTCAAGTAGCCCCAACCGATTTTGGTTGAGTGCTTCCCAACATTTTTGGACCGTATTTGTTGGGGGATCCCAAATAATGACTGGGCCATCCAATCAATTATTGCCCCCCCTTCCCCCCCCCCCATCCCCCAATAATGTTGGCCAATCATTGCGTGGTCAACCTAATTGACCCACCAATGATGGTGTGGGCACTCATCCAATCTGCCCACCGTTTCCTTTCCTATGTCAGCCTATCTCTCATTTATCACAATCATAACTTGAGACTCTTTCACTCTGCACACGCAGTGGCCCCATGCCAGTACACCCGCAACCACTAACCCTCTACCCTCTTCGACCCAGTGACACCCCTCAGCAATTGAGCCTGCCCAGATCTCTCAGTGCAGTGGATATATTACAGTGTGGCGAGTTGGTTGAGGTGCGACAGATAAGGGACTCAGGCACGGATCAACTCAGCCAGTTCTGCGCAGATCACTCAAATCAGGTTGGTCAACAAGCTGATCAACTCAGCCGGTTCCTCCAGAGGACAGATGGTCAAGAAGGGATCCGAGAAAGGGAGAGAGCATGGGACTACCTGGCATGTGACACAAACTCATGCAATGAAACAGGGACAGAGCCAAGTAGTTGTGGGATGGATTAGGTAGGAGGGGTAAGGGTGGTACTGACAGGTAGGTGACACTGAAGGAGGTTGCTCATGTCATTTGGAGATGTTCAGATGATTCACTCTCGGCTTGCTGCATGCGTGGCGCACACATGGAGAAACATGGGGATGGACGGGATACACGAAATGGGGTTGGATGGGGTTGGACGTATAAGGTTGGGGCAAGGAAAATGAACAATTAGGAGAGGGAGAGGGAGGGGAGACGTGGAAGGACTACAGATGGGGCAATGTACTGAGGTGAGGAGAGGGATGCCTGGGACGTTGATGGTGCGTCCCATCTGCCGCACTGCACACACGCACACATGACAAGACAGCATTCCGCGTTGCTTTTTCATCCGCCCTCGTCACAATCTTCCCTCTTATTTGTTCAGCACTCTCACTCTCAGTAGAGCCGCCCACCCGAACGCACCCCCGGGGCATAGCCAGTACCTGCACACGTTGCTGGCACGCCCCTGGCAAGCGGGCCGAGAGTACTCTGAAGGCACCCACATGCGCTGGAGCAGCACTCGCATGCGCTGGAGCAGCACTCACATGCGCTGGAGCAGCACTCACATGCGCTGGAGCAGCACTCACATGCGCTGGAGCAGCACCCACATGCGCTGGAGCAGCACCCACATGCGCTGGAGCAGCACTCACATGCGTTGGAGCAGCACTCACATGCGCTGGAGCAGCACTCACATGCGCTAGAGCAGCACTCACATGCGCTGGAGCAGCACTCACATGCGCTGGAGCAGCACTCACATGCGCTGGAGCAGCACTCACATGCGCTGGAGCAGCACTCACATGCCTCACGTACCAGGGAGACGACGTTGCCTGCGAGCGTCGCATGCGACGCCCTGCACGGTGGAGCAGTCGCTGCTGGCCGACCACGCCTGCCAGCCGCCCCGAAGCTGCCCCCACACTGCCAGCACGTGCAAAACAGCTTGACTGCCAGCGAAGGCAGGAGAGGGTTGGACGCAGGGGGTGCAGCCGCGGGCTCACGGAGGTCAGCGGGCACGGTGGAGTGTGGGGGGAGGGAAGCAACGCGGGGAGGGGCATGGGGGCACGCAGGGACCGGAAGAGGGTTGTGCGACAGATGAGTGAGGGTTGTTGGGAGAGGGGATGAGAAGAGGGAGTGGAAGGAGGAAAGGGAGGGAAAGGAGGGAAGGCGGGGTGATAACAGGGTAGTAGCATAGGAAGGGGGGCATGGAGAGGCAAAGAGGGGGCAAGGAGAGTTGGAACGAGGAAGTTGAGGTGAGCTGTGCGTTCAGGAGGAGAGCGATTGATCGTTGCAGGACATGCGCAGCGGCTAGAGCGCTTCTGCGGAACGTGGTGAGAGAGAGTCACAGTGGCATTGGACAATCTCGCATCACCGCGCATCACCCCTGCATGTCACCTCCCCATACCGCCGCTTTATGCCCGCCCGCCCGCCCGGGCACACTCACAGTCTGCTGCCTGTATTTGCCGCGCCACCACCAGCGTGCAGCTGGCAGAAGCAAGTGAGCAGCAGCAGTGGGAGAAGTGGGAGCAGGAGATGGGTCTGCGTTTGGTAAGAACGGCAGGGGGGACGAAAGGGAAGGGGGAGTGGAGGGAATGAAACCGGGAGAGGGGAGGGGAAGGCAGAAGCGAGGCAGAAGGAGAGGGACGGGATGCAGGAGAGGGAGAGCAACCCACTCCCCATGACTATACCCCCATCTTCCCCCTCCCCCCCCCCCCCCCTCCCCCTCCTTTTCATTTCCTTCCCTCATATGCACCCCCTCGTGGCATATACCTGTCAGGGCTTTTTCCTTGCTTAGGTTGGCTGATGAAATCTTACCTTAGTTCTTTACGCTTGACTTTGCTGTACCACTTGTATTCAACGACAAGGATAGTTCGAGTGTTGGGGGGTGTGCATATGGGGCTGACTCAGTCGCTCTGCGCGATGATACACTGCGAGACGATACACAGTGTGACGATGCACTGAGCAACGATACACAGTGTGACGATGCACTGAGCAACGATACACAGTGTGACGATGCACTGAGCAACGATACACAGTGTGACGATGCACTGAGCAACGATACACAGTGTGACGATGCACTGAGCAACGATACACAGTGTGACGATGCACTGAGCAACGATACACAGTGTGACGATGCACTGAGCAACGATACACAGTGTGACGATGCACTGAGCAATGATACACAGTGTGACGATGCACTGAGCAACGATACACAGTGTGACGATGCACTGAGCAATGATACACAGTGTGACGATGCACTGAGCAACGATACACAGTGTGACGATGCACTGAGCAACGATACACAGTGTGACGATGCACTGAGCAACGATACACAGTGTGACGATGCACTGAGCAACGATACACAGTGTGACGATGCACTGAGCAACGATACACAGTGTGACGATGCACTGAGCAACGATACACAGTGTGACGATGCACTGAGCAACGATACACAGTGTGACGATGCACTGAGCAACGATACACAGTGTGACGATGCACTGAGCGACGATGCACAAAGCAACGATGCGCTCCCCAAGTGACGAGGCACACGCACATACGCGGCACGTCCGTAGGGGCGGCTTCACGGCACTTAGCTTCCCCACCGACGCAGCCCCCCTAGGCATCGTGTGCCGCCGCCAGGTCCGCAGTGCGCTCTGCGTGGGGGAATGAGCTCTCTCGTGCTCGCTGTCATGCCACTGGGAAAGCCCGCCGCCGCCGCTACAATGACGCCAATCCTACTAAGGTACGCGTGAAACGCCGCTGCGTGCTCGCCGTTCCGAGTGGCGCCACGGCAGGACGGGGCGAGCACGCGGACGAGCTGCGCTACGGTCATCCTCCTTTGCGTCCAAGCGCCAAACTAAACCACGGGTTTGGCCCCGGCCATATGCCACGCCATCAGCTCTCGGTGACTCAAGGAGCCGACAGCCACCTGACCGTGGCAAGCCACGGCTCCCAGTCAGCGCGCCGTAGCACTAGACGAGCGCGCGACCCGTTATGGTAGTAACACCGCTCTTACTTCCAGGCAGAAGAGGGAAGAGCATGCAGGTAGCGCATTCTCGAGAAATGCAAGCGGCGCAAGTGCGACTTACCGTTGCCTGCACGAATCCTACTGCTGCGTGACGTGGCGAAATGGCGGCGAGCAATGGTGGAATGGCGACGCGACGTATCGAAATGGCGGCGTGACATGGCAAAACGGGGGCGCGACATGCGGAATTGGCGTGACATGTTGAAATTGGCACCCATCACGACGACTGAACCTGGTAGAACCGACAGCGAAGCACAGCGACCAATTTTTAGACGCCTAAATAATACACCGACAACGCACAGCAGAGCGTACTACTTAAAGCCTCGAACGTGAAAACGAGTGTGTGTGTGGATTCTGGTTTGCTTTCCACTTGAGCCGTGGCTCCTCAAGGCGATTAGGAGGGAGCATAAAGACCGCTGACACAGGTTGTTGCTTAGGCCCTATTTGCGGGAAGCAAACTTAGGATGAACAAATTTGTTCAGGTCCCCTCGGCATTGTGCGAAGCTCCGAACATTGCGAGGTTCCGAGTTCGCAATAAACTGGCCAAAAAACTTACGATTGTCGAGGCAAAGGGTGTACGTCCGGATCGCCAGGCTCGGCTGGCGTTTTAGTTCCTAGGCGAGCCGTTTGGTGTGGGACGCGTGAAGTTCGGAGGTCTGTGCGTTCGGTTTACTTTCTGGTTTGGAGGCGACATTTTAGGGGTATCGTACGAATTCCCGAAGATGGTGGGGATCAGGCTCGGCCGATTTGACGAAGCCGAAGCTGTTTCGCGTCGCTTCCGAGCCTTTTGTCCCCAACCCAAACCTTGCGACGGAAATTTCGCCAAGCAAGGTTGTGCTCGTGTAAATGGAGGCTTGAATCACATATCGTCGTTTCCATTTCTCTGTTCGATGGTCATTACAGCCTCCAACCCTAATTTTGAATCTTCTTGTGCCTACCTCACTTCCAGAAATCCACCTTCTCAAGCAGCTGTGCATCGATGGCGGTTTATAGTAGCTGTGCATGGAACCGTACCGGCTCTTTCCGTCCGCACCACGCATTGGTGGAATCGTCGCCAGCGTCTTCGTCACCGCCAATCCAATCTACCATGTGCACTCGCTCTCTATATTAGTTCTATCAATGGCCCCTGCTATCCTTTAATAGCTACCAATAGACATTATTTTCAAGTAGCAGCTACAGAAACGACCCGTCGTCGTGCCCATGTCGCCAGCTGCTACTACGTTGCGGCATTTCAGACTCGAGTCTACCTGATCCGATCATCGCTCTCCCCGCACCGCGCACTCCCGCCTTGCTCGGTGTGCAGCTCCCGCCGCTGCTGCTGCAAATGCTGCTGCGCACTCCCGCCTCGCGAGACGGCGCGCAGCTGCTGCTGCTGCTGGTGCTGCTGCTGCACTTGTGCGACGCCGCACAAGTGATTCAGCCTTCCTTCGGCGGTCCCTGTTGCCTGCTCAGGCAAATCGTGACACCCATTCGCGGGATTTCTGAGATAGGATGGTGACTCGGCCGCATGCACAGGCGGTGCAGCGAGGCTGCCTCGGTCTGTTTCGGGCCTTTCTCTGAGGCGTCGAAGGTGCTGTGGATTTCGTGGGGAGGGTTGCAAGGACGGAGTAGTGCTGATGGTAAGCTGCAGCTCTCTGTGTTTCGCTGGGTATTCCCCGCATGGCGTCGCAGCAGCAAGACGTTTTGTCCGGTGCTTACATTAAAGATATTTACCAGTGACATGACAGATATGGGTTATTGGAGATTTCATGATGCATAAAGCAAAAAGCGAAGGGATGATGGTGCTGGGAAGATCGGACAGATTCAGGAGGTACAGTTGTCGCATGCCACATGGCACAGGTTGTTGAAGCGTCATTCTGCCATCCACGTGTTGCAACAATTACTGTCGCTGCGATTGGTTCCCTGCGCTCCTCTCTCCCTATTCAACTCGCCTTGTCTCTCCCATTCTGCTTCTCCCCCCTTCCCCCCCGTCACCCTCTACCCTCCCCTTTTTTCCGCTCATATTGTCCTCAATCCCCGCTTCTCTGCTCCCCCACAGGCTGTGGTCGAAATCACACACGGGAAAGTACAATTCAGATCCCGAGCTTCACATGGCAGCTCGCCAACTTCTCTTGTGGCTTCGGATGGACTTGCATGACGAAGGTGAGAGTCGGTGACGGGCCTGCTGGGTAGGGGCGTGTGTGGATGTCAATTGAGGAAGCGGTGAAAAGGGGGGGAGGAGTGGGAAGAAGGGGCGTGGAGGAAGGGGGGAGAAGGGACGGAAAAGGGGGGGGAGGGGAGAGTGGGGGGGGGGGGGGGGGGGTGCTTCCAGGGCTGGCAGAGGCCATAGAAGACGCCTGGAGGCTTGTTTGGTGGCAGCAGTTGACAAGCTAGAAATCTCCAAGGTTAGAAACATGTAGGGGCTTGGTTGGAAGTCGGTGTGGAGTGGGGGAGATGCGTGTAGGAACCACTCGGGTCACTCGTGGGTGGCGGTGGGAAGGGGGCAGTTGAATAGCTATCTCGGCGAGAGTTGCTGAGAGTCAGTGAAGAGTTGGCAAGGAGTCATTGTGAGTGGCTTTGGGATGGCTTTGATCTGAGTGGAGGGAGTTGATGGGCAGCATAGATGAGCTGAAAGGATGGTTGCAGCCAAGAGTGAATCTCATCCCCCCATCCCCCCTGCAAAAACCTCCTCTCCTTTTAAATTTCCAATTACGTCTTCCCAACCAACTCCCCATTGCAACCTCCCCCCATCTCATCCGCTCAGCACCGCATGTGTGTATGCCACACTGCATTTTGATCCCCTGAATTCTGCCCTTACCACGCATGACATTTCTCGCTAATTCACTGCGTTCCCTACCACTTTCGCCTTTTCCCCTTGACCCTCTTTCCCCCTTCTCCCTTCCCCCCCAAAGCTCCGTTGCTCCTCCTCCACGGACCTACAGATTCACGCTTCTTTAGCACTGTCTCCCGCTTCCCTCCCTGCCCGCATCCTCCTCATCAAAGCACTGCTCCCTGCCTTTCTCCGCTTCACCTTATCTCTGCGCCTACTTCTCCTTTAGGGACTTCCGGCCCACAGGTTTGCATCCTCACAGCACTGTCACTCACATCCCTCTCATTAGCCACTGCCCCTTTTCCTTTCTTCTCTTCCCCCCTCTCCACCCCAGCTCTGTGAGCGTTTGCGCTGCAGAGAGCGCTCACGAGGGGGCGGGGAATGGGGACTGCTGATGGGGCTGGCGGAGGCTATAGAGGATGTGTTTGGTGTTGAAGATGGCGGGGCGGTGGTACGGTGGATATATCGCCAACCCCACAGGTCAGAGCGGTGAGGGGTGGGTATTCGTGTGAAAGTTGGCCAAGGGGACGGTGAGTGGGGGTTTGTGAAAGGAGTGGGGGGAGGGGGGCTGAAGGGGGGTGAAGGAGGGGTTGCTGCTGGGGCGGGCGGAGGTCATAGGTGATGCGATGGGTGTCACCAATGGGTGGAAGGGACCTGGGGGGAGTTAACAGGCTGGATAATGCCCGTGAATGTGTATTCCACATCGACTTGTGTGCCCCTGACATCTGCCCGTACCACACAAGCACATTACTCACAAAGGCACTATCACTTCCTCCCACTTCTTCCCTTTCCCTTGACCTCTTTCACCCCTTCTCCCCTTTCCTTTCCAGCTCCGCACCTAGTTTTTCTACACAGACTCATAGACACACGCCCCAACGGGCACACCGCTCAGCTCTCCCAGGCGCTATCCCCTCCCTTCCCCATACCCTCTCGCTCCGCCTCTCTCTTCCCACCCCCCCCAGCTATGATGCACCTGTTCCTCCTACTCCATGTGTGGCCCGCGGACTTCTGCCACTTCCGTCGCCCACGCGCTGTCCCTTCCTCTCCCCTTCCCACCTCCCCCATCCCTTCCTGCCGTGTCCCCACCAGCTCCGCACAGTACCTGCTTCTCGCGTACCGATTTCTGGCCCATCAATCCCCCACCTCTGCAACATGGGCGCACTGTTCACAGGGAACCCGCGGGCTTCCAAGTGCACTCCTTCCAGGGCTCCACCGCACCTTCCTCTCACCACCCTTACCCTCTTTTCTTTCCTCCTCCACTCCTCTCTTCACCAGCTTCACACCTGCCTCTCCTACACCCACTTCTGGCCTACTGAAACCACGCTCCTACGGTACTGCCTCCCACAATCCCCTCATAAGCCACTGTGTTGTTTACCCTCCCCCCCGCTCCTCTCACCCTCCCCCTTTCAGCCCCGCACCTGCTTCTCCCACGCCATCTTCTGCCCCACGGACTCCCCCATACCCACGGCACGGGCGCACTGCTCACCCAAGAAGAGGTTGCTGCCATGGCAGAGCTGCACGGGAGGCTGCAGGCGAAGCTGGGTGAGGCCCGGCTGCTGGGTTCCCCGTGGCGGTTTTTGAGGATGGCCGGGCAGAGGGAGGAGGAGGTGCGTCCGAAGTGAGTGAGGGGTGGTTAGCTGGGCTGTATGATGCTTCTGTGTCACTCGTAGATCACGGGTGAGGCGAAGCTGGTGGGAGGGGCGGCTGGGTGCCCCGTGGCGGTTTTTTAGGAGTGACGAGCAGAGGGAGGAGGAGGTGCGTTCGGGAGTGAGTGAGGGGTGGTGGGCTGGGCTGTTTGAAACTTGTTTGTCAATAGTGGGTCACGAACAGATAACGGGTGAGGCAAGGCTAGGTGGGCCTGCTGTTTTCCTTGTGGTCATGTCCTATCTCAGGGTAGAGCAGCGGGAGAAGGCGGTAGGTGGTGAGAGGAACGTAGTCTAAGGATGGTTCACCAGCAAGTCACTTCTAGCAAGCTTGTTGCATGCCGTCAGTTTTCGAGGTCGAGCAGATGAGGCGAGGTTAGGCAGGGCTACTGGGTTCCCAGGGTTGAGCAAAAGGAGAAGCCCAGGGCTGGTGAGGGGAGTATGGTCCAGTTGTGGGGAGCACAGACATGTGCTCATGCCGGAGTGGTTATCGGGACAGACTAGAAATCTGTTGGGCTCTGCCCGCGCAGGTTCGAATTCTGCTGAGCACGAGCTCGTTTGTGGTGTGATGGGTTTGCTGAGGAAACCGTTTTAGTCTATGTTATTCTTTTTTTTTTTTGTATCAGTATTGTTTTGCACTTCACAGTGCGACGTCACATCAAAGCACAGCGATTACTCTGATAACGTATTATTAATTGCCTGGTGGTCACCCTCTTTGTCTTGTTTTTGTGCTGTTCATTGGAAGAACTTGGGCATGACGATGCGACTGTCGCTCCACACAAGGCAGCGCGCTGGATCTGTGACGTCTGTCACACTAAAGTTTGTCGCACTGCCGTTTGTCGCACTGAGGTCTGACTCACTGGGGTGGGGTCTGTCGCTGAGGCAAGTCGCAGTCGCAGTGGGGTCTATTGCACTGAGTTCACTCACTTGAACTGGGGTCCCTCTATTGCTCGCATTAGGAGATAACTGCTCGCAGGTTGATCCATTGAGGCGCAGACTTGCTCGCAAGGGGGAAAGAGGGGACGACAATCGATGTGCGAGTGGATTGGTCCGACAAAAACCTTGCTGCAGGTAGGATGGGAAATCACCATTGTTGAAGGGGAGAGGAGGGAACGAGGGGGATTCAGTGTGCACGTAGGTCGATCCGCACCGCACCACTCACTCCGTTCCCCATCCCGCTCTCTTCGCGCTTCTTTTGGCGCCTCGAAAGCCCCTTGCCTCCCCGCATCCCGCATTCTGCTCCCCATTGCAATCGCTGTGCATAAAGACGTTACCCTAGATCCGTGCTCTTTGTTGCTCTTAAACCATTCCGTCTCACCAACCGCTTTACTCACCCTGCTTCCCATCCTGCTCTATTCTCGTCCGCGTTGCTTGCAGCATCAGTCCCTGTCGCGTGCCCACGGCACCCACTTCGCTCCCCATCCTGCTCTATTCGTGCAACGCCTGTGGGGCTTATTTGTAAGGTTGAGTGCTTCCCCTGCGCCTCAAGTATATCCAGTGGGTAACTCCCCCATCCGTTCCTTGTCCCTTGGCAACTTGTTCGAGCGAGGGGGAGGGCGAGTGGGCACGGGAGGTGGCGGCGGCGGCGGCACTACGGTGGCTGGCAGCACTGGGCGTGGACAGTGGGGAGGAGGGAGAGGGAGGGGAGGGGAAGGGGGAAGATGAGGGGGATGGGGAAGGATGAGGGGGAGGGGGAAGAAAAGAGCGCAAGGGAGAGGGGCAGCCACACTCGTGTCTGCACCTCCCAACCCCTCTCTCCGCCCCCAATGCCCTAATCTCACCTTCCTTCTCTTCCCCCCCAAACCCCCCTTTTCTTGCCCTTCCTTCCCGCTTCCCCTCCCTCCTTGTTTCCCCATATCCCCCCTCCTACCCCTTGCTCTCCCTGTTGCACCACTCCGTGCCGCCGCCCGCCCAAGTGAGCCCTGCAGCACCCGTGCCCGCCTTCTACTCCTTCTTGGGGCCGCGCCTGGGCGACGCAAGCGCCGCGGGCAGCGCAGGTAGACTGGCGGCGGGTGCAGTGGAGCAGCAGGGTGAAGTGGGGGCAGGCAGATGGAGGAGTGAGAGGCAGCGAGCATGGGAGGGGGCAGCAGAGGGAGCGGGCGAGGAAAGGGAGGAGGAATGAGGAGTCAAGAGCAGCAGAGGGGACGCAGATACTGGCGGCCGTGGTGGTGCAGATGGTTGGGTGAGGGGGGGGGGGGGGGGGGGGGGGGGGGAGTGTCCAGCACGTTGCTTTAGAAGTCGCTCTTCCCCTGCTCCTTAGGTGTGTTTCGCGCATGTGCGACTGCTGTGGCTGTCCCCCACGCAATGCCATATGACACCACGTGTCTGCAGTATCCGCAGCACCACTTTCTTCTCTGCTTCTCACATTCGTCCCACCAGCGCCTTGGCTCCCCTCTTTCTCCCCCCACTGCCTGTGTCAGGCCCGTTGCCTCAGCCTCTCCTCCGCACGCCTCGCACTAGCAGCATTAGCTCCTCTTTTGCGCGCCTCCCCTACACTACTGCCCCTGGGAGACGACTCGAGGGCAGCATGGGCAGGAGAATGGGAGGGAGGGGAGAGGGAAGAGGGGGGGGAGAGGGAAGAGGGGGGGGAGAAGGTGGGGGAGAAGGGGCGGGAGGGAGCATGAGCGGCAGTTTGATCAATACAGACATGCGCGCAGGCACAAGGCCGAAGGAGGGGGGGGGGGGGGGAGAAGGGGACAGGGGCACCCAGGCATGGAGGAATTGTGGCGGCCAGCAACAAGAACAGGCAGCATAGGCAGCACGGGAAGCACGGGAAGCAGAGGCAGCATGATTGGGAGGAGCGCGAGCATGGAGGAGGGGCGAGCACGGCTGCTGACAGCTGATGCAGCACTCACGGATGCCATTCTCACGGGCGTGATCATGCCCACACCCACCTCCTCTTCCCTGGGCTTCCCCCAGTGCGCGCAGCATGGCAGCACCGCGACTGCCCATAATGGCGGTGGTGGTGGCATGGTGGGCAGCAGCGTGGATTGCAGTCACAGCATCAGTGTAGTGTGGCGATCGGGCGGCGCAGCCTTGACAGCAGCAGCAGCATCGTGTGCTGCAGAGACAGGGCAGCGTGGCACTCAATCGACAAGGTAGCATGTGGCACGGCGGCATGGGGCAGGGCGGCATGGGGCAGGGCGGCATGGGGGCACATCGAGAAGAGGTAAGCCATCCAATAGCTGTCCCAGTAGGCCTTCCGCATTGCAAGCCTTGCAAGCCTGGCTCGCAGCCTACAAATCGTTTTGCTCGTACTTTTTGTCATATCGGGCCAATGTGCCAAAACGAGTCGACCAACCTTGACCCGATTCGAGTCAAATTTCGATTCTACCGAACTCGGCTATCCGGCTCGAATCAACTCGCAAATCAACGTTGACTCGACCTGCAAATGCGTTCCACTCACATTTGAGGAGTGCATTTGCTTGTGGTTTAAACTGGTAAGAATCTAATGCCCGGGCCAAGGAGGCTCTCACCAAGCTGCCAGGCTCGCCCCAGCCTTGCGACTCATGAGCCACCTCGTTCTAAACTCCCCCCGGGGGTAGTCCTCCAGGTCAGGGGATGGATTTAGCATGTCTTACGCTCCTCGCCAACCTCAACCAATGGAAAAATATTTGAAACTGAGGTCTTGAATGCATGCGATTTGGCTTGGACAGTGTGTAATAGAAAACCAGCACAGCCCGAGATGCTCTGGTTTTCTATCAGCCCCATGGTCTCAAGCTGACCCGAGTTGCGTGCGAGTCTACTTCAGGAATCTTCCTACTCAAAGTGCACCTCAAACGGCCAGGCCACGAGCCCCTTTGTTCACTCATAGTATAGGACTCACCACCATTTGTCTTCTCCCTTGCACTATAATTTCAGATCCCGCGTGGTGTGCTCACTCCGTCTTCCCGCACCCCGCCTGGCTGTGGTAAGGAGAAACAAGCCACGGAAGCAACCAATCATGGATTCGGTTCTATCCAGTGTGAGGATGTGTATCCGGTGGGTGAGGTTGCATATTTCATGCCACGCTGAGCTGAGATCTTTGACTCGTCGTCATTCCTGGTCCGCATCCTCGTGCAGCCTTGTATCTTGCTCCCTTCCTACTCTTGGGATCCCTTCTGGCCTATCCCTCACTGCCGCGTTTTGCAACCCTCACCTACCTACTTGCATTGATGTAAAGGTGTGATGGGAGCGTCAAATTCTGCTTATACAATGAAGGTTTTTTTTGTTTGGAGAAACTTCAACAGATAAGACCCCTTTGTCTTTGCTTGCTACTTTTATTTTTCTCTCACCTCCTTTCTCTTGCACGACGATTCCCTTCTCAGAAACCATTTTCTGATACCATCGCTGTTCCTGGGACCTTCTGGCTGCTCTGCTCGTTCAGCTCGCTTCATGTGGCTGATGTACAACATCACCTTTGTACCAGCCCCTCTGTGTACCTCTCCAACCTGATCATCTCCTCCCTTGCCTGACTCCTCTGGTTCCTCTCTCTGGTTCGCTCGCTGTTCTTGAGGTTCCTTTTCACTCTGTCAGCAACTTTCCCATCCCCTTGTTTGTGTCCTTCACGGCTCGTGAGTCGGAATGAACCATGAAGTAGCATAGGGTTCATTCCGACTCGTGTGTGACTTCACACTACTACCCTATGCAGTCCTTTCCTCCTCATGGGTCGCCTTCACTCTTCGTATTCATTTCTGCATGCATGTGTGTATGAATGTTCTACAATATAAAAACTCACCCATGCGGCCTCGGCCTTTCTGGCTACCTTCTACTGGCGCCTACAGGAATACATGGGAGAGAAAACACCTCCACCTGTAACGGATGGGTATGTAGGGGAAAAAAAAAAGATATGCAGTGTAGTAGGATATATAATGCTTTTGAAGGAATGAATGGCAGAAGTTTTGGAGGGTTCCCAATATCAGAACTCGAGGATAGATTGCGTTGGGTGGGAGATCCATGATGGTTGTACATGCGTGGTGTGCATCACAACCTTACAGCCATCCTCGCACCACGATTCTGTTCTGGGAACTGAAGAACAAATACATTTTGATTTTAGCATAAACAAAACAGCGCCATTAGGGGTGATAGCCTTATCAGAGCGAGGTTTCGATCCTCGGACCTGTGGGTTATGGGCCCACCACGCTTCCGCTGCGCCACTTTGATGCGTCCTAGCTGTTCTTTTTTTTATCATATTCCCTTTCCCAAATTCTACTCTCCTTCCTCCTCTTCTACTCTCCTTCCTCCTCTTCTACTCTCCTTGCTCCTCTTCTACTCTCCTTGCTCCTCTTCTACTCTCCTTGCTCCTCTTCTACTCTCCTTGCTCCTCTTCTACTCTCCTTGCTCCTCTTCTACTCTCATTGCTCCACTTCTACTCTCCTTGCTCCTCTTCTACTCTCATTGCTCCTCTTCTACTCTCATTGCTCCTCTTCTACTCTCCTTACTCCTCTTCTAATCTCCTTGCTCCTCCAGGGCTTTCTCTTGTTCCAATGCGGTCTGGCTTCATGCCAAATGCATGAGTGTGCTTGATCCATACTTGTCCCCCCTCCCCCTTCTCCCCGTTTTTCCCCCCGCCAGGTGTGTGAGAGCCGCATGCCAGTAGTAGCAGACCGCGTGGTGCTGCGCAAGCTGGCCCAGGACATGTGTGAGTGGTCGCGCCTGCTGGTGAGTGAGGAGAAGAGAGGGGGGGAAGAGGAGAGGAGGGGATTTGGGGATGAGCGGTGAGGGGTGATGGCGCAGGGCATGCACGAGTGGCTGCGCCCATGGGTGAGGGGGGCGATGGGATAAGGGGGATGTGGGAGGCTTAAGAGGAGATAGGGGGGATGAAGGGAGATGAGGGTAGGTGAAGGCTCGGACAAAAAGGGTGAGGTATGTGACGCAAAGATTGGTTATTTTTTCAAGCCACAATGCCCATTTTTTCTCTGCACCCATCTCCCCACCACCCTCCCTCACCCCTCTTCCCCAACCCTCTCCCCCACCCCTCTCCCTCACCCCTCTCCCCCAACCCTCTCCCCCACACCTCTCCCCCAGGTATCCCGGTCGACCGCTGCCACCTCCCCCTTAGTCTTGAGAGGGTACACCCACACCGCACGCGTGTGGTCGTCCACAATTGTCAAGAAGTAGCGGCTGCCCGAGAGAGAAAAGGCCCTCGTGGGGCCCACCACATCCATGTGCACTAGTGCAAGTGGTGCCTTTGCTGGTCCTGTGCTGCTGCTGAAGGGAAACTTCGTGAATTTGGTCTCAAGGCAGGTAGGGCAGCTCCCAATCTCTTTTGCTCCCCCATTCACCTCCAGCCCCTTCAAGCACCCATCCTTTACCAACTTCTGCAGCATAGGAATGTTCACATGGCACAGCCTCTCATGCCACGTCTCCCAATCAGCCTCACCACTCCCATATGAAGCCTTTGCCCATGCAGCTGTCGCATCCACACCAGCATGCACCTCACCATGTGGCTGTTGTGGCTGCTGCACCTTTTTGACTGCATCCAGGGCCCCATCAGTTGGTGCAGTCTCCTCTCCTCCCGCAGTTGCTTTAGCCGCTGCCGCTGCCTTTGCCGCTGCTGGTGGTTTCCCCTTCCAAGGGATGATGGGCAGCTGCCATAGGTCCTTGATGCAGCTGCTCTTCTCCTCCAAGTTCCACAGCAGCATCTTCTCAAGCTTTGCACGGCAGCTGGTTGGGCCGAAGGTAACTTCAGCCTTGCTCTTCTGCAGCCGGCGCACAGAAAGAAGGTTAGCGGACAAACCTTCAGCCAACAGCACATTCCCAAGCCCCACAAGCTCTCCATTGGCTCCCATCACCTTAGCATTCCCAACACCAATCACAGGGAGCAAAGCACCTGAAGCGGCAGCCACAAACTTGATCTTCCCCGGAGGTTTTACCTCATCAAGCAAATCTGCCCGTGGGGTCATATGACTCGTGCAACCTGAATCGATCACCCAATGAGTGAGGGGGTGCATCACAACCTTCCCAACTGAGCCCACATCACCCCCACTCCCTTGCACATCCTCAACCATGAGGAACATCCCAGGGTCGGCTTTACCTTGTGCAGCATCACCTTGTGCACCTGATCCTTGCACAGCGCCACCGCGTGCACGTTCACCACTTGGCGGCTTCATGCCTGGAGGGGCCCATCCCTCAGGCCGGCTGAAACACTTGAACCACGGGTGTCCAGCCTTCTTGCAGTACCAGCACGCACCCTCCATTCGGGTGCTCCCCCTGCCACCAGAGCTCCCATGCCCCTCATTGTAGCCACCTCGGCCTCTCCCTCTGCCAAAGCCTCTCCCACGGCCTCGGCCTCTCCCCCCCCCTCTTCCTCTGCTGCCTCCTGCAGCTCCATACCCCTCAGCAGTTTTGTTTGCAGCACCACCTCCCGTGTGGCGCCTGCGGAAGTCCTCTTGCAGAATCTGCTGCCGTAGCCACTCAGGCGTCCATTTGTCCTGCTGAACGTTGAGGGTGGGGATGAGGTTGTCCCACGAGTTGTCGAGCACTGAGATGATCTTGGTGCACTGTTGCATCTGCGACACTTCGCTGTCCGCCGCTGCCATCTTCGCATAGATGTCCTTGATCTTGTCAAGGACCGGTTTCACATCATCTCCCGGTTTCATGGAGAGGGCAGCCAACTCCTTCTCCAATACAATCACCATCGGCAGCGTGTTGGGCTGAATCACGTCGCGTAGCAGCTTCCATGCCTTTGGTCCGGAATCATCCAACTCCACCAAATCTTTGATGTGCTGGAACATGTCGTTCTTGACCGATTGGAGGATGGGGTCGTACAGCACCGCGCTCTTCTCAATCCACTGATCGCGGGCATCTCCTTCCCCCGGCATCGTCTCCTCTCCCATTGCAATTTTCTGTAGCTTGTAGCGCTTGAAGGCGCTCCGCATCTGCCCGCTCCATTCCTCATAGTTGGAGCCATCCAAAGCTTCGATCTTGGATGGTGGCGGTTCACTCCTCTTCTCAGCTGCATCTCCACTCCCTTGATTCATCTCCTCTGCTCCCAATCAGAGGTTTCAGCTCCCCCTTTTGCTGGTCAAAATGTAGATCCACACAATCTTCACAAGTGTCGGCGCCAACGAAATTTCAGCAGAGTTTCCCCTTAGCGGAAGTCACATCCAACCTCCAGAACTCCACTTAGGCACGCCCACAGGCCATGGTGGGTCTATGAGGGTCTTCACACTTCAGTAGACTCTCCACAAAGTCCTTAATCAGCTCTGATACCACTTGTTAAAGACTGAGGACGGAGTCTATGAAGATTAGTAGCCAAAATATCTCAACATCGTTGGGCCTAGTTTCTGAACAGAAAAGTCGAGTTCACAAGAAACGTCGTCGACGAAACGTTCACAGTCAGAACTTCATCAAACTCAAATATATTGTAGCTCTACTCCGTGGCTACAATTCCCAAGTTGAATCATGCGAAAAGGTGAAGTATTTCTTGAGCTATCAATTTCGGCGCACTAGGGGGTATGCTGCCATAGAATCTTAACTCAATCACAAAGTTCACACAAGAGAATTAAAGTAGCACTAAACCAGGTGGAAGGGATGAGGAGGACGAAAGGGAAGGTCCCAAGAGAGTCCCCAACCAAGGAAACCCCATGCCATACAATTCCCTTCCCCATAGGCAACCCAACTATGACCTTTGTCACTATCCCAACCTCCACAATCCACCTCAACCCAACTTGGCCACACTTGCCAGCCTGGTTTGGTTTCTCCCAACCATTTGGCAGCAACTATAGTAAAAAAGACGAATTTCCCAACCCTCAAAAGTCTGTACCCCATATTGAGTCAACCCCACAACTTCCCATAGTCACCACAACCAAATATCAAAAGCATACGAACTCCAACGTTCGTAACTTTCTTGTTCGTGCTCCGATTGAAGCGATACTTGGTTCCTCGGAAAGCTCTTGAGTAGAGGAGTCACTTCAGATATCTGCTCAAGCCAAATAACATTCACACACACACACACACACACTCAGAAAAACCAAACCGCACAAAACACAAATTCTTGCACACACTCACAACACGCATGCAACGCACGAACATATGATGGGAGGCAGACAGACGTGAATGCGAATGGTAGCATCACTCAACAGCCCCTACCACCCTTGCTTCCTTGTCCACCTGTGCTGCCCCGGCTGCCTCGTCCAAACCTGCTGCCCCACCGACCAGTGTTGTGCCAAACCATGCAAATGAACCCGTTCCAGTTACAGAACATACTGGTCCTGCTGGTGGCGGGGAGCGTATGTGCGGTGCTGTGGGGTGTGGGACGGAGGAGGGTGGTGATGTGAAGCTGAGGAGCTGCAGTGGGTGTGGCAAGGTGGTGTATTGCAGCAGAGAGTGCCAAAAGGCGCACTGGTTCTCCCACAAGCTCACATGCCCTGGCAGAACTAGCGGGAAGAAGAGTGGAAAGGATGGGAGCAGCAGTAGTGGCAAGGCGATTGGCAAGGTGAGTAGGAAATGTGGGTAGGCAAGGTGGGTAGGCAAGTTGGGTGCGAATAAGCAAGGTGGTCGTACAAGTTGTTTAGGAAAGATGTGTAAACAACCTGGGTAGGCAAGGTGTGTAGCAAGGTGGCAAGGCAAGATGGGTGGGCAAGATGGGTAGGAAAGGTGGGTGTTCAGGGTGAGAGGTGAGTGTTCCAGGTGAGCGTTTAAGGTGAGAGTTCAAGGTGAGTGTTCCAGCTGAGCGGCTAAGGTGAGTGTTCAAGGTGTGAGGTGCAGTGTGGGCAGCGACCAAGGCATCATGCCCTTCGACTGTGAGCATGGTTGCCAGCAATGAGGGCGTGTTTGGTTTCTGTGCATGCGCCCAGTCATTCATGACGTAGTAGCTGTTGGATGCCCATACTTCCCTACTTGGAGAGCTCTGCAGTGAAAAAGCACTGGCATTCAATTGTCTTCTTCCTTTTGGTATTTCCCAGCCTTTTCTCACCAACCCCTTCTTGCTTCTTGCACTTGCACCCTGAACCCCACTTGCTCTCTACAGGTCTAATGGTGCATTGTTACGAGCATGTGCCTGAAGATTTTGGGGCTTGTGTCTCGTGCTACTGCAAGGCATAAGGGCTGGAACACGAGAATTATTGCAGTTCACCACAGTGCCACACGAATCAGACATGCCTGTTGCATTAGGGCTGGAACACGCGACGCGAAGTGCAGGGCTTGCGCTTCTTGTCTTCCCTCCACCAGATTCTTGTCTTCTTGTCTTGGTTGGGCTAGCATTCTCAAGATTGCCTCTGCACCAGCTTTTTCTAACAAATTCTTTTATCGACACACTAGGGCCTGAATGCCGAGAAATTGCGGTACCACACTTTCTCAAGATTTAGATTGTTATATATAACAATCTCACGCTCCTCTGACAACCACTCCAGCACGAAGCAACTCCCTCCGAGCTCTTTCAGAAACCTTACTCGCCTCCACCTTCAAAAACCGCAGCCTTGGCACGTTCCCCAGCAGCCCGCCAATGCTGTCTGCAGTGATTCCACCGCACCCCACCACAGTCAACCGAGTCAGCACCTCCAATTTACTCCCTGCTATCACTGTGTCCGAGAATCCATCACTGCCTTCCACCCGCAGATCCTCCAGCATGCCACATGCTCGCAGCAGCCTCACCAGCAGCCCCTCCCCCAGCCCACAGCAGTTCATGAGAGCCAGGCTCCTGAGCCTTCCACACACAGCAGCTCTTGTTAGGGATTCAAAAGACTGAGGCTCGCTGCTCAGGCTTGAGACAGGACTTGGGGAGAAGGACGATGAAGGGACAGGGGGTGTTGCTGGGGGAGAGGGGTACATCAGGGGTGAGGCAGATGGAAGGGGAGAGGGCTGGGAAAAGTCGCACGTGGAGGTGAACTGAATGCTGTCCAGGGTGAGGGACTCCAGTTGAGGACACAACACTTCCACAGGCGTCGCTGGTGTGCTCCCCTTTAAGGGTGTGGCTCTAGCAGCTGCTGTGATGCCCTTCCTGCTAGTCCCGCGTCCTTTCCCAACGAACCTGCTCCAGCTGTAGCTACCCCAGCTCCTACTGCCGCCCCTTCTGCCGCTGCTCCAGCCCCTGCTGCTGTGGCCAGACCGGGTTCCACTGCTCGAGGCACTGCCGCTGCCCCAGGCAGAACCGCTGCCCCAGATGCAAGCGCTGCCCCATTGAGTAACCGAGGAGCGCCAGGTGGAGCCCCACGAGCGACAGCCTCCATGCGAGCCACCAGCTACTGACTGACTGATCCATTAGCTGCTGCATGAGCGCCTGCAGCAGCCCCCACGCCTCTGTCCGCGACACCACCACAAACGCCGAGACTGATGGCTGACTGACCCATGGCGGACTGACTGAACAATGCCTGCCTGACTGACTGACCCATAGCTGACTGATTGACTCACGACAGCCTTACCTATGGCTGACTGACTGACTATGGCTGACTGGCTGACTCATGGCTGATTGACTGATCCATGACTGACTGACCTATGGCTGACTACTGACTGACCCATGGTTGACTGACTGACTTTTGACTAACTGACTGACCCGTGGCTGAATGACTGTCCCATGGCTGAGTGACTGACTGATCCGTGACTGACAGGTCTATGGCTGACAGACTGACTGACCCATGACGTACCAATGGCTGACTGACTGACCCATGGCTGATTGACCCATGCCTCACGGACTGACTCATGACTGCCTGACCTATGGCTGACTGTCTGACCCATGACTTTCCGATGGCTGACTGCCTGATCCATGGCTGACTGACTGACCCATATATGATTGACTGACGCATGTCTGACTGACTGACCCATGGCCGCCTGACTAGCTGACTAACTGAATGGCCCATGACTTACCAATGGCTGACTGACTGATTGACCCATGACTTATCAATGGCTGACTGATTGACTCATGGCTGACTGACTGACCGAATGTCCGCCATGATCCTTATAAAAAACAAAAGGCCGAGCTGCTGCATTGATGGTCGAATTCACAAGCCAGCTGCGCTGAAAACGTACTTGACAAGTCAAGTCGATGAAACACCCCCTTGCAGCAGCCAGCCGCAGAAAAAAGGTTCTGGTCATCCAGCCCCCTTGCAGCAGCCAGCCACAGACGAATGGTTGTGGACAGGCTGGGAGAGTCATACAGTGAGATGGGTGGGTAGGTACGGGTTCAGCAAGGTGGGGTGGGAGCTAAGACATGGCTTCAACAAGGGCAGCTCACGACAAGAAGGGGTGAGGGCACAGGCATGGCTTCAAGAAGGCGAGCTCATGAACGTGTTTTAAGCCCTCCTTCAGGGCGTCTTTCAGTATGCAAGGCCGAGCAGGCGGTTCAGCTTCTTGGCTCTTCTTGTCAAGTGGGTTTTAAGCACAGCCACTCCTTCCAGCATCGGGCTTGCCCAATTCGTCTCAGAGTAGATTAAGTCGGGCGTTTTGTTTTGGACAGGATCCTGACAACAAGGCGGTTGCAGTCATCAGGTTGAGGTCAGTCATCCCATGGGTCGGTCGGTCAGCCATGGGTCAATCAGCCTTGGGTCAGTCAATCAGCCTTGGGTCAGTCAACCAGCCTTGGGTCAGTCAATCAGCCTTGGGTCAGTCAATCAGCCATGATTCAGTCAATCAGCCATGGGTCAGTCAATCAGCCATGGGTCAGTCAATCAGCCAGGGGTCAGTCAGTCAGCACAGGTCGGTCAGTCAGCCATGGGTCAGTGAGTCAACCATGGGTCAGTCAGTCAGGCACGGTTCAGTCAGTCAGCCATGGGTCAGTCAGTTAGCGATGGGTCTGTCAGTCAGCCATGGGTCAGTCAGTCAGCCATGGGTCAGTCAGTTTGCCTTGGGTTGGTCATTCAGCCATGGGTGGACGAGTCAGCCATGGGGTACGTGAAGTATCTGATCAGCGCACTGCTCATCATCGTCTTCACAAGTCATATCACACTTCCCAACCCCGTTTCATTCCTCCCATAAGGCTCTTGCCCTACCGCATCTGACATATCATTGCAAATGATAGCTCTATGAAGGGATCAAATCAAAACCTTCTTGCCCACGTGTTACAGATGACAACCCATTGACAAGAAGTGGATACTGCCTGGAGGGAGGATGTGATGCTTTGCATGTCAGATATGTGGGATGAAGAAAGAGTTGCTATATCATGTAGTGTAGTTCATTACGAGTAGAACGCTTGTTGCTGCCACAAAATGGCTTATCATTTCCATAAGAAAACCCATATGTTTTATGGATAATCTTTTTTAGTAGCAAATATTATGTATGCAGCAACTGTTAAGGGATTCAGAAAATGGCATAAGCACAAAATATGTGCCCATGCACAAGCCAAAGCTGTAGCTCCCGTCTTTTATGTGCGAAGGCCATTTTTCTCGTTCAATTTACCTGATCACCAAAGATTCTACCAGAATCCATTCCATTTATCTGTTCAACAGGCCACATTTCCCCATATACCGTATGTTTTGGTATGGCACAAACCAGAAGCTCTAAGTAGCAAGGTGCATGTTAAGCCAAACTTGATTATGTGGAAGAGCCACTTGCCATGCCCTCTCGCTCCGCACGGGCCATTTCAGCAGTGAAGCTGGAGGAGCCAATGGAACTCCCAAGCTCTATGTCAGTGTGAGATTTGGCCTCGCCCACATGGCTCTCATGTGCTCTGGAAGCTTCCTGCTTCAACTTCACCAGCTCCCCCAGCACTTGATTCATGGAGGGGCGGGAGGCCGCAGGCATGGCAGTGCAGGAGAGGGCAAGACGAGCCCAGCGCAGCACCAAGTCATCTGATGCGTCCAAGTACGGGTCCTTGAAGACCGTCACGGCGTCTGACTCGACGAACGGGGCGATCTGTTTGGTTGAAAGAGAACACAGCCATGTGGACATACGTGTGATTGTTCAATGAACCACATGCTCATGAGTGGAGGATTGAGCATTGGTCGAGCAGGTTTTGCATCAAATGTTCAGGTAGTAAGTCTGTACTAAGCAACGGTGGCTCACCCATTGCTTCAGACTGATCTGGCTGGTCTCGCTCGCATGCACGGCCTTGCGTGCTGAGATGACAACCAGCATCACCACGCCAAAGCTGTTAACACCAGCTTAGCAAAAAGGACAGGGGACCAGATTGGAGATTCATATGAGGCATGTCCATGGAGCATTCTATTCACTTCACACATCACCCGAGTGGTAGCCACATATGGTTTCCTGCTCAGTTCAATAGAGATGTATTTGCCCTCTCACCTGTACACGTCTGCTGCTGGAGTGGCCTTGTGGGACTTGTAGTAGGCAGGGTCCACATAGCCCGGTGTTCCCATCACTCGAGTGGCAGCCACAGACGTGCCCATAGCCGTGCCTCCAGTGAGTTTCACCAACCCAAAATCTGCAATCTCGGCCTGAACAACTGTTTCAATTTTAAAAAAGGCAAGATTTTGATATTGAGTGGTACCAATCGCTTTCAACGTGTCAGGCATGCTTGTAAAAAAAAACAAAATGTTAGGTTAGTGGCTGGTCCAACAGAATGTAAGACGAAACTAGAATTAGACGTACATGCATTTTTGCATCAAGCAGAATGTTGGCAAGCTTGATGTCGCGATGCACAATGCCAAAGTTATGAAGATAATGCAACCCCTTTGCGACTCCAATCAGAACATCCAGTCGTTGGAACAAGGAGAGTTGGCTTGGAGCTCCTAAAAAAGGGAATTCGAGAAAAAGGTTCCAATAGGAATGTTATTTGATTGACTGTCCTTTAGGAAGAAACATTGTATTATGAAGAAAGTGTTTCAAAGGTGCGACACAAGGAATGCGGTTAAGGGTTTATGGTTTCGGGTTTAAGGTCAAAGTTTTGAACTCATGTCACACACCGAAACCTGCTCTACGAAAATGGTTGTTGAAGAGTTCAAAAATAAACGAAATGAAGTTAGATTACCTGATCCAATCCAGCTTTCCAAGTCCCGGTTCGCCATGAACTCATATACGAGCACCTGCTCAATCTGTCCCGTGCTGGAATCGTAGTTTACACAGTAGCCCAACAGGCGAACCAGGTTGGGGTGGTGCTTGCTGGCCATCTCCTTCACCTGTGAGGTGAGAGAGGAAAAACTAAAATGGAGAGAGCAAGGGGAAGAGGGCGTGTATGTATCTTCCTAAGAGTGAGTGTGTGTGTGCGTGTGTATATGTGTGTGTGTGTGTGATTGTATGTGTGTGTGTGTGTGTGTGATTGTATGTGTGTGTGTGTGATTGTGTTCTCACAGATGAGTAACTATTTGATTCCTCATGTGATGCTAGAATCAGGAATGGAAGTGTGGTTACCTCGGTAAGGAAGTCACTAGAGAGGACCCTAGATCGCTTCACAGCCCACAACTCATTGGGGTCATGCAGTGACACGCCCTTGTATACATCTCCAAAACTGCCGCTGCCAATCTTGTTCCCCTCTGCCCAGTCTCCCGTTGCGCTTGCAAGCTCTTCCAGAGTGAACCTTTGGCACACATGTGGCTTCACTGCCTCCATCTCCACCACTACGTCTCTCTGCTTCTCCCGTGCTGCTGCTACGGATGCGGCTGCAGCAGCAGCTGCAGCTGCTGCTTCTAGGTCCCTCTCCTTTCCTGTAGATGCTGATTTGGGAAAATCAGGTTCTGAATCTAGGAGGGGGGTGTGAAGGAGGAGATAAGATGAAGATGAGGAACTGAAAGTGGATGGAGACTAAAGAAGGATGCCGGCAATACAGGATTTTTTGGGCAGCGTGGATTGAAAACATCCTACCTTGGAGTGTGCTTTCTTCTGACACATCCTTGCCACCCACATTCTTGCCGGTATCACTTCCCTCTGCTGCCCCTTTGGCATGGAATTGCTTGCAAATCAGCCAGCTCAGCAGCAGCAGCATGAGGAAAACCACACCTCCTGCAACAGCAATGCCTGCAATTGCTCCTTTGGTCAAACCATCTCCAGGCTGGGAGGAAGCAGCTGAGGGTTCACTTGGAGAGGGATCTAACCGTGGAAATGGGGAGGGTACAAAATTCGAGTAGTAAGATAGAGACACAGGAGGGAGAAGGCAATCAGATATGGGGATGATGATGGGGCTGTCAGATAAGGTACAGATTGCCAGGGGACGGTACGCGAAGAAAGGCATTGGAAGGCTGAAACACATTTACATCAATAAGCATGATTGGATGAGCTATGGACAGGATTGCATATAATGAGTAGCTGAGCTTTGGACACCTGAAACTGGAGAAGCTTGTTTCGTAGGTGGCAATGCAGTGTTCACCTGCGTAAGGAGCATCTCACCTGGTCGAGGCTTGTCACATGTGGTGCAGAAGGAGGGACACTGTCTACAGAAAGCATTTGAAGTGGTCTGTGGGACCACGCAGCTGCTGTTGTCGGGAGGGCATGTGATCTCTGTCGAAGATATATCCCTGCATGTGCACGTAGCGCGTTCTCGAACTATTACTCAACAACGGGCTTCCACTTTTAGTGAGAATCTCTGACATTGCTGAAGTATGGTAACACATGTAAAACTATACTACGCCATAATATATTAAAGTTTTGAAATTACCAGTAATTAATTCATGGGTCATTTATGCCATCTATAGAAAATGTACTGACGTGCACCAGCCCGGTTTGATGGCTGTTGGGCTGAGGAGTATTTTGCCGGGCCAGTACAAGTTCGACCCTAGGTACATTGAGTACCAATGGCTACAACAGAATCTTGCCTATGGTACACCATTGGAATACCACCTCTTTGTGAAGTTCTTCAAGAATGCTATAATAAAAATAGCAACACATGAACATGCTAATATGCCTCACAGGTACGAAAGATGAGTGAGATTGCCCACTGTTGGAGGGAGCAGGCCAGTGAGATTGCCGTTCGAACTCACACTACTGCAACAAAAATGAAAGATAATAGAGGGATAGACTCATACAAACTAGTGATAACTTTGATTTTTGATCAGACATACTTGGTGGCTAACATGGATCTTGATCTGGACAGACTTGGTTGCTAACATTTTTTTTTTTTTTTCAAGCCTTTAGTGCCTCCCTGAGGACATTGTCAATGGTGGCAAATGCTAATCGGGACAGACTTAAACAATTTGTTATGACGTTTCTTAGGATAGTGGCACACCAAGCTTGGCACATTCCGTGAATACGAAACTGGCCAAAACCTCTAGATTGCCTCCCAATAGTCATGTCCGCCATGGCGGATTGACTCGGCCTAGGTTCACTCCTTGCTCTTGCAAAGAATAAAGTCTTCTTCCGTATTTCCAACCAAGGGTGGCATAAGTACTGAGAAACATCCGACCATGATCCCAAAACGAGACAAAAACGCAGGGTAAGGCAAGGGTCAGCCTAGGTGCATGAGAATGGAGTATACGGCCTAAGGCATCTGACCTTGGCTGGCTTGCTGCAAGTAGGTCATGTAGTGTGTCTGCCTTATCATCAGAGAAGACAGCCGTGCTTGAAGCCATGTCCACACGAGTATAGCAGGCAAGATACCGATTGATGCGCATTTTGTTGGGACATCCCAAATTCGTATAGATTAGCGGGAGGCCCTCGGGTGCCACAATGTGATTGACCTCCTATAGCTTTGCTGTTAAACCAACCCATGATTGCTCTGATGGGCTTTGATGGTCCTAGTGGGCTGGCCCAGCCCTCCTTACTCGTGCCCAATTCAGCCAAAAACCAGCTCTCAGCTGTGGTTGCAGGAACAAAACAGCCATGCAAAGGTGATATTGGTAGGTAATCAAAGGCTGATCATGTATGAATTGCACATAAAGTAGGAACTCTAGGAACTGAAGGTGAAGCTCTTGTTGAAAAAAAGGATCACAGCCAGCCAAACCAAAGAACAAATGTAGTCGAAGTTTCTTGGAACTGACAGGAAATCAAGGCGGCCCATGTTGCCGATGACAGACGGAATAGACCCATCCATACTGTTCATTGATAGATCCCTGATGGTTCATGCACACAACGAGTTTCATCCAATGATAGAGAGAGAGATTGAGTAAGTAGTTGGTAAGAGAGGGGAGAGGAAATGGGATTTGAGAAAGACACAAGAGCTGCACACAAAATTAGATAACCTCCCCCAAAAGGCGGTTGGAAATGGAAGAAGTACGCTCAGATTCAATTTTCACACAACAAGGTGCTATTCCAATAGGTGGCTTCAAGTGTGAGCACAAAGATATTTTCTTAACTTCAATTTTGATTTTGTAACACAATTTTCTAGCAAGCTGACATAAGAAAATTGGACAACAAGATATACCATAAGAGCCGTTGTTTTGGACTCTACACAAGCCCACCGACGATGACCAGTGGTCAAAAGTGCGGATGAACACATGTGCTCAAAACGCTATGCTTGGATAACCATCTGAATTGATAATGAATACTGGATCGACAACTTGACAACCCTTGAAAATGTTCATCTATGCGCACAAGAATATGAATTTGGGAGCACTTTTAGGGGGGACTCATGTTCTAGGGTTTCTCTATACTTGGAAGCTGGAAGGAAGGTACAACATCTGCGACTGCAAGGAATAAATGTGTGATGCACTGCATATCTCAACAACTTAAGGTCGAGTTGTGTGTGTAACCACCAACAAAGGTGTAGACAAGTGGGAGTTGATTGCTTCCAAATAAGAAGGCAAAATTATGGCTGCCGCAGCTATGCCAAAGGGAAATACAAGATCACATTCTCACATTGGGTCAGAGGCAGGATTTTATAGCTCTGGAAGGAATGTGTACACTTGAAAGTGATACTAAGGCTGGCTAAATACGTGTCTACGCTCACAATTCTACTGGTGCGGATCTTGTTCAGCTCGCAAATGAATGGGAACAAATTACCAGTGAGACGTGAATATTGTCAGCCAGCAGCTCTGGCCAGAGGAAATTATTTCAAGCCTGAGTACAACATTGTTGTTTTCAATTTCAAGATTCTTGAAGTTGTAGTCGCCAAGAACGGAGTTACCCTACTTCCTTTCAAAAAACACTCGCGACCCAGGGTCATCAACTTTTGTCAACGAGTTTCGATTGGCTTGTGTGCGTTTAGGCAAGACTGAAGTGATGATCACACACCATTTGCACCGTTCACCACTCACAAAACTTGAAACCAAGTAGTACTCATAATCTAAGAGGCTCCACAAACAAATTGTTTTTTTTTTTTCAAAACGAAACATACATACCAAGCCCAACCATGTTAGTGGAAGCTCACTCCCATTCCAGCCTCACCACATTGGTCTTGTGTAACACCCCTCTGTTGACAGCTATAGCCTATGCACAAGCATTTAAAACTTCACTACAAGCTGAAGCTTAGCAACACTTAACTTCCCTTTAGACCCTCCAAGTGTGTCAACTTGTCACCTCCCAGCCAAGTGTTTATAAAAACATATAAAGGAGTAGTTTGTTTGTAGGGCGAGAGATCTGGTCGAGCAGCGTTTCGGCAGCACCATGTGAGCGTGTCTACTCTCGTCAATACGTAGTAGTAGAATTCTAAATTGAAAGCATGACAGCATTGATGATGTCAAGCAAGTACAAGCATGCATTTTATATTAACTCATAGGCACACAAAAGGAAAACACACCAAACGGTTGTTTAACTTTAGTTCAGGTCTTCGCCTTGCTGTTTTAAGTCAAACCTGGTGGACTTGGTCCAGAGTCTACTCAGCTCACCCCTGGTCTTAGTTGGTATTGTACGTTTACGGTGGTTTACGTTTACGTGACTTTACGTAGTAAACTTACGTTTACTTACGTGGGCTAAAAATGGCTTTACGTTTACGGTCAGCTAGAAACAGTTCTAACTGCCCGGAAATATAAGAAATCATCGGACTAAGTGGCTGCATGGGAAGCACCTAATCTATCACTAGCTTGGTTCTTCTACGCCCAAGCATGTTAGCACATTATTACATCAACTTACAGATGCCCCAAATCTACACAAACATGTAGCAGCCTCTCCCACCTCATATCAGTCAGATTTTTTCGTTTCGCGGGCAAAAAAACTTTTTTTGCCCTGCCCGTGCGACTTTACGTAAAATTACGCGTAAGAAAACGTAAAGGTAAACTCAAGCGTAAGTTTACGTTTACGTGACCCAAAAAAACGTAAAGTACCAACTAAGCCCCTGGTTGTAGCCTCTTCCAGATTTTTCCATAGCGTAGCTCTAGCCTTAAGAGGTACCTACTCATGGAGTTTATGGCATGGTTGTAATTTTTATGGTTCTTTACATACTTCTCGTAACCACGTGTTGTTTGGGTCAGACCTCTACCTGGCCGGGTCCCCAACCTCTTCTCACCCAACCAAATCAGTCTTGCGTTGCTCAATTTGATTGAATCTTGAGTCTTAACATCCTGGCGTCTGGACATGAACAAATGGGCGAACACCTGCTTTGTTTTTGTTTTTTTTTTGTTATTTTCTATCATTTTATTTTCTTCTTTTCTCTTTTCTCTTTTTTTTTTTTTCAAAACAAATGTTCAGCCGAACATGTTCGAGTGTTTGATTTCCGTTGTCCAGGCACGTCGAGCATCAAACATGTCCGGTTTAGGTTGGAGGGGAGTTCGAAAGGAACAGGTTCGAGTTCGACCATTGCTCATGTCTGTTAATTACAGAAACACCTTTTCTGTAATTCAATCTGCCGATTTGAGGTTATGATTCAAGTTTTGTATGTGCAGCTGAATGGAGCGGTGAGTTTGGTACAACCGAGGTGAATTATAGGCTGGTCTTGACCAATGGGAGTGGTTGGTGGCGTTCAAGGGGTGAGTCTGCCTTTTTTATTTTGAGCGAGCTGTTTTGGAGGTTCTGATTGGTTGCCGTTCGGAATGGTAGTTGCTCATGAGTTCGAGCGAGCAGCTGCTCGTGCTGCCACTGTTCGAGGAGCATGATTGGTCCTTGCTCGTGCAGCGTGTTTGTTAGCATGTTCGTGAGCGTGTTATTCGCGCGTTCGTTAGCGAGTTCGTGAGTGTGTTCATTAGCGTGTTAATTAGCGTGTTCATTAGCGTGCTCAGTAGCGCGAGTGCTATATGCTCGCGAATCGTTTTTCAGCGCAGGTGGCGAGATCAGCGAGAGGTTCGAGTGAGTCATGTTACTCACGTTTTTTAACAGCTCTGACCAATCGGATCGACGGTGCGTTCGGAACGAGACGCACGTGGCGAG